TTATATGTATGTTATGTAAGTTAACATATGTTATTCACATATACATCATATATGTATGCTATGTAAACTGATGCGATGTGGCTTAGCTAAGAAAACTGAGGACAATCGAAAAGTTTCCACAACGAATAAAAAGTAACTCCATATTATGCCTTATGATTGATACATGAGGCGCCTTTTATAATAGTGTGATATGAATAAGATTTCAATTTACCATATATAAAGCAATTTCTAGATAAAGAAATTGATCTACAATTGATTCTATATAAAGAATTGATCTAATTCAGATCTAGAAGAGTTATGGTATAGTTTAAAGTTGCAAGTAATTCCCTTAAGCTCTGTTTATAATCTGTAGTTGCAAATAAAACTAGAAATGACGTCACATATGTCTATAAAAGTTATGGGAACTCGACAACTTCGTGATTATGGCTAGAGCTAAAACCATTAAGATTTAACAGTAATTAAATAATTTTGAGATAATTTTACTTTGTTCAGTTGTAGATGAGAGTCTTAGTTAACTAGAAGAGAAGTGTCTAAGCATAACTTAAAAGACCCAAAAATTCATCAATGCTGGCAAATCGGAGCAGCTATCCCAAGCTAAATTGATTTTTAGATGAGGTATTTTGGGAGCTTGATACTTGAGATGTGCTTGCATAATTATAGTTTGATATAATCACACTACAGTTCACGATTGTTGTGGGTAAGACGGCTAGACAGTCGGGCGGACAGACAGAGTGATAGACAGGCAGACGGACGGACAGTCCGAGAGGTAGACAGACGGACGATAGATAGCCAGATTTATCAGTTATCTGTCTGTAGACAAACGGACGGACAGGCAGTCCGAGTGGAAAAAAGACGGACGTACGCACAGAGAGTCCGAGTGGTAAGCAAACGGATGGACAGACAGTCCGAGTGGCAGAAAGACGGACAGACTGACGGACAACCCGATTTATCAGTTATCTGTTAAATATCTATAGACAAACGGACGTGCGGACCGTCCGAGAGATAGACAAACAAACGGACGGACAGGCATTCCGAGTGGTAGGCAAACGGACGGATAGACAGTCAGACTGACAGAAAGACGGACGAACGTATAGTCCGAATAATAGACAGACGGACGGACAGATAGCCAGATTTATCAGTTATTTGTTAAATATCTATAGACAAGCGGACAGACAGGCAGTCCGAGTGGACGACAAACAGTTTTATTAGTCATCTGTTAAATACCCGTAGATAGACCGATGGACAGAGGGATCGCTAGCCAGAAAGGTAAACGAACGGAGCCTGCTTCACTTGGTTATTCATCATGTCCAGGCATATATATGTATATTCAGTCCATCGTATTCCGTATTTGGGCAGCAATAGAGTTTCCCAAATGATCCTCATCAGTTCGCTCAGAGTATATGCTCAGTTGCCTTTTTCCAGCCGAGCTCTAGGGTATTCAAATAAAAGCCGAGCTCGCATCTGTCCGCTGTGTAATTCATTCGGAGCTCTGCGCATGAGCAGCCGAGAGCTGGGGCAGCATCTCATGCGAGCGCAGAGCTGCGATTCGAGACTTGTTTAAGCAACATTTTATTGCTGTTGCTTTTGTCTGTTGACTGTTGCTTATTGTTGTTGTTGTTGTTGTTGTTGCTGTTGTTGTTGCTGTTGTTGTTGCTGTTGCTGTTTGTCTGATTGAGCGGCATTGGAGGTCAAGTTCAGGGAATACCGCACTGCTTAGCGAGACTTTATGTATTTTTAACGATTTTCTTTTCTTTATGACTTGGAAGTCCGTATATTTGATATGTGAAATATATCATAAAGCAGAGACTTAATTTAGTTACTAATTACAATTACGAGCTGTAACTCTGGCTTTAAATTGTATTGTTGAGTTAATTTTAAAGCAATTTCAATTTAAGATTCCTTCTGAGTCATTGCGAATTTTAATTGAGAACTTTATTTTTATCTTAATTCCCAGCTTTATGATTACTTTATTTAGATACAGTATAGAATGTGTGAAGAAAGGGGAAAGTGCAGGAGATTCTATTATATGACCATATATATATATATATGTCTAATATGTATCTATACATATACAGTGAGTAACATTAAAATTCGGATCTTTTATTTTTCATTAATATTATATGTTTTATAAGCGCCTGAAGTTGAAAAA